TCCGGATGAATACTCGTGGAGGAAGTATGGGCAGAAGCCAATCAAAGGTTCCCCTCATCCTAGGTATGCACTGAAGTATGACTAGTCTAATTTTTCTTGCATGCATGTCCTTTATTAATTAGTGCTTTAAAATACCTGTGATGATTCCACAATTAATGCCAACGATATCAACTCATCAGTTTTGTCAGCAAAGACGTCATCATTTGCAATGTGATAATGTGGTACGAGTTCCATGACATACTCAAGTGCCTTCTTGATAAATAATGAACTGATGATAATCAGAACACGCTTTATCTGAGTGAATATTTTCTCAGATGGTATCTACATTTGTTTTCTGTCCTCAAGGTGCTTCATTATCGAAGAGGCTATGACATTAAATTATTGTTCCATGTATGCTGCTGCTCTTTCTTTCCTGTGCACTTTATGGAAATTGATCAATCATGGTGCTTAAAGTGGGCACCTTTTTTTAATTGAGCCAAGATTATCCTGTGATGATTCATTATCTCCAAAACCCCCTCACCATGTCAGTTGCCCACCTTATCTTGATAGCAAGTTGCATATTGGTAGCAACCACATGAATATAGTTGTTCTTCCTATGAATGATACACATCTTTGTCTCCTTTTAGCTAACACTAGATATAGGAACACTTGTTGTATTTCTATTCTTAACATAGCTACGTGTTGCTATCTTGATGTTGGCATAAGACCAACTCATTGTTTTCTTGAATGAAAATGCAGGGGTTACTACAAATGCAGTAGTCTGAGGGGCTGCCCAGCTAGGAAGCATGTTGAACGGTGTGTGGATGATTCGTCGATGCTCATCGTGACATATGAGGGTGAGCACAACCACACCAGAATGCCAACTCAGTCAGCACAGGTGTAGAGAACTCATCATCACTGCACCTCCTTCAGGAAGTGCCACCAACACGGCCTTTGTTGGCAACGGACTGCTGCACCTGTCAGGTTAACAATGATTGTGTGGAGACATTTTTAGCTGTCGTTCATCCTGTTCGCTTGTCGGTTTCAGTCAGGCTTATTCAACCAGCCAATAGTGTTTTCCCCTCACAACAAACCAGCACCAGCTAGCCCAAACCAGCCCAGAAACCAACCAGCGAACACGCCGGTTGAGATGTTTGGCCCTGCTTACGCTACACCCACATGATTTGTAGCGAGAAGAACACGCCATTAGATAGGACAGCTGAGCTGTTGCTCAGGAGTCAGGATTAGTGTGAAGAGGTGGAAGGGAAGATAAAAAGTTGGCGGGAATGGGACAGTTGTGTAAACTTAGTAAAAAGGGGAGTAAAAATAGAACTGTTCTTCTTGGACTACCCTGATTCCCTCACTCAATCACCTGTATCAAGAATAGTGTCAAAAGTGAAAAGAAGTGCACAGAGGCTGTCTTTTGCTGTTACAGAAATTCATTCATTCATAGTTCAATGATCAACTTGTCAGACTGAATATGCTAGAATTGTATTTCTTTTCCAGACGGAGGGAGTATTTAGCGTATGTAGTTTTAGAGAGTGGTGGATAATTATGGATGGAATTAAGTATCCGAAATATATCACTTTCATCAAAAGTTGCGTGCAGATATAAGATAGAAAACTGCAGGAACATCACATATTCTCTTCATATTTAATTGTGCAAAAGACAGTGCACGGGTCACTAGTGCACCCTAGTTCAGATCATTTCTCCATGAATTGTCGACCGTAGTTCAAGCACTGAAACTTTGTTGGAGATCATTTCTCCATGAGTGTGTTATAATTTCGGCGCTAGTTCGGAGTGGTCGAGCATGGGTACACTGTAGAGATGAAGTATTGTTGTTGGTATACTGTAGCATCAATAATTTTCCATATAAAGAGCTCAAGATAAGCGCGCGCTAGGGATATGCATATGCGTGCTTGATGCGGTTGGCGGTTGGCCTGTGACTTGCTGGGCTGGAATGGACTGCTCGCTAGTGGGAACTGGGAAGAGACTGGAATGGACTGCTAGCTAGTGGGAAGAGAATAATCGCTTGATTGACGCCAGCAGTCCTGACCCATAAACTATCCGATTGTTTCCATACTTGTTACGTCACGTAGAAATTACACAACAAAATCATATTCTGAATAGATAATTACTTCAAAATAGATTTTAGATAATTACTTCAAAATAGATTTTGTCTTCTCTCCTATCATTCACGTATCCTATTTCTTTCTATCTTGATTCTTATGTAAACCATTTCCTTCTCTCTCTTTCTTAATTTTGTCATATATATCACCATAGTTAGCACCTTGATTAATACATATAAAGACCACCTTAGTTTCTGGTGTCCACTATTATACTTTTAGGACAATATTTTACACTCCCTATGTTTCAAATTATAAGTCGTTTTGATTTTTTTTAGATACATAGGTTTTTGTTATACACTTAGAGCATCTCCAAGAGTTTCCTAAATCACTTCCTAATCCTTGGTTTTTAGCAAGATAAGAAAAAACCCTCTCCAATAACTCATAATCCATCCTCCTAATCTTTTAGAACTTGGGAAGTCACCTTGTTCCGCGTAAAGTTAAGCGCTTCCGAGTTGCACGTATCTTCTCTCTCATACTCGTGTTTGTCGGCCAATCTAAAGGTGGAAGGGTGCGGAAAGAATAAAGAGTAGGAAAGGGTTTCTGATGCAAATGTACAAGAGAGAAAGAATATATAAAAGTGGTTAGAATAATTTAGAAATAGTTTAGGATTTCTGATGTAAAATTGTCTTCTATATTTTAGGAGTGGGTTATTAGAAATTTTTGGAGATGGCCCTTCATATTCCTTCCAATACTTTTTTAGGAGTTATAAAATTTTATGTTTTTAGAAAGAAAATATTGGATACTCTTGAAGATGCTCTTAGATACCACGCTACGTCTAAATACATAGCAAAAAAAACTTATATACGTACCTACAAATCCAAAAGGAAGGAGTATTTTTTATGACGATTCTTCATTATCATTGTAGTGTGTGCATTGGAAGTCTTGGAGGGGATTTAAAGGAAAATTTAGTTCAGCCTCCCAATCCTCTCTAATCCACAAGGCAGGGGCGAAGCCGGGATAAATGGTCGCTGGGGTCGATACTCTCACAGGACTACCTTTAAGGCTTATGATAATATAATATCAATATATAACATCAAATTGATAAAATAACAAGTTGACAAAATAAACTTTCACGGCAGTAATTACCTACTACAGTTTTTCTCTACAACTACGACTCTCCATCTTGTGAAAGCGAATTAAATGGTGGCTAGAAATCCTTGCTTAACGGTAGAGTCTTACCGTCTGTGACCGGGAGGTCCCGGGTTTGAGTCGGGGTCTCCTCGCATTGCACAGGCGAGGGTAAGACTTGCCACTAACACCCTTCCCCAGACCCCGCACAGAGCGAGAGCTCTCTGCACTGGGTACGCCCTTTTATTATCAAATGTATATTAAGCTCACGATTTTGAACGATACTAAATTACTAATGTGAAAGTATAACCATGTGTATACTGTTAAAAGTCAGTAAGTCACTACTGAAATACATCTATATGCAACCTGACATCTTGCCGGAATGAAAGAGCACGTTCTTTGCTGTAAGGCATATGTCCTATCTGCTTTCTGAGTTTGAATTGTATAGCTGAAAAAAAACTAAGACCTCACGGTTCAGACTTGATGATTGCTAGTTACCAATTCAAATATTGGGTATTTGGGGTACCTGGACAACAGATGGGCAGAGAGCTTAGGGCTTCTCCAGTGGTGTTTCTAAAGCGACTTATGGGATTATTTTATTTGGCATGAGTCGATGCATGCACCACTGGAGCAAATCGATGCATGGAGTGTGCCAGGAGTCAACCACCAACATGAGTCGATTCATTCTAATTAAAATAATATTCACGTGGAAAGAAGAGGAAGAGGAAAGGGACGGAAAGCACGAGGTCACTCATGCAAGTGTCCGGCTTTGGAGAACAAAACATATTTTTATTTGAATGGCCCACAGGAAGAGTCGACCTACCACTGGAGATTGAAGGAATCGACCCAATTGCATCTTTTTGTATGCGTATATAGCCTCGGTGAGTCAACCCACCACTACACATGCCCTTAAGATTATAGCCGGCGGCACTGGCAAGTTGCGGTTGGGGTTTGTCAGTTTGTGTCTTTGAGAAACGAGATCGAGAATGAATGAAGGAGTGGCGGCACCACCTCAAGGATTTGCGAATTGATACGAGAACAAAGAAGATCGGAAGATGAAACGGTGACCAGGCTGTGGACTATGGGCTTATTACCTTCCGGGCTATGGGCTTACCTGTACATATATACTTGCATTCACGTAATCACGTTTCATGAAACGGGAGCCAGGCCATTGGGTGGGCTACCGGGCTTATCTTTGCTCCATGCTAATCAATCGATGGATGGGCTAAGGACCTAAGGTGATGCCACAATGGACTGCTCGGCCGCAAGTCTGTCGGGGTCGCACATATTTTTTACCGGGGTCCAAGCTGGACAAAAATCGTTGGGCATTTGAGGTGATCGCAAAACCATCGGTGTCGGCCGACCCCGATGCGTGAACGTAGCTTCGCCCCTGCCACAAGGTGGAATCATTAGTCGTACTCGTATCCAAGCTTATTCCTAAATGCACATGAACACATATATGGATCACTGCCACATTCCTTTGCTTATTCTCAAATGTCACGGCGCTCCAAACTGCTCCAACAAATTCTTCTGTTTCCGTATATAGCACAAATTTGATATAAAACCCCTGCCGTTTTATTTACACCAAATTCGATCTGACGGCTACGCCCGCATATGCTGCTGGGTGTGCCTGGGCAGGCTGGGTTACACGCCTACACCAGCAGTCGAAAAAAACCCCAATTGCTCGTGTGATCAAATTAAGCAAGTTTAATAAACACTCAGAAAACCCATATTATTAATTCATATTATTATTCGTTGCAGCCCCAAACATTTGACAATTATTAAAATCGATATCGATAGTCGTTGATGGCTCGATGTTGCGTGCTACGAGGCAGCTGTCGGTGTCTCTGCTGCAGGTGCAGCTGCCTCGCCGTTGGCGGCCTCCACGGAGCGGATAACCCCCAGGAGCTCGCGCTGGGGCGTTGTCGGCGGTGTGTCAGGCTCGCCGCCAGCGGCCTCGACGGAGCGGATGGCCTCTTTGAGCTCGCGCTGTGTGTCGGCGCGCGCCGGTGCTGCGACCATGTCCTCCCAGACGGAGCGCTCGCCGCAGGTGGTGGTGCCGTCAGGGTAGAGGTCGTGGACGGAGGTGGCGTTCTCGTTGAGCCTGCTCACCTTGTCCAGGCAGTCGAACTCCCGGGGCTCCACCAGCAGGCTGCTGCCGACGCCGTCCTTCCAGGCGATGAGCCTGGCGGAGCCCATGGAGTTGGTGCTGTAGAGCCTGGCGCCGTCCACGAGGCGGCTGTACCGCTGGAACGCGGCGGCGAAGCGCTTGTGCGACTGCAGCTGGGACCGCACCCTGACGGCGCGCCGCGTGATGATGGCCCTCCGGATGCCCCGCGCCACGGCGAGGTAGGCGTCGCAGACGACCCCGACGACCTCGATCCGGTACGGCCTCCTGCTGGTGGCCCCGCCGCCGGGCGGCGGGGCTGGTCGGTGCCGTCGGGCTCCCAGTAGCTCTCGGTGACGGTGCCGTCGTCGGCGACCTTGTAGCCGACGCCCATGCGGTAGCGCTGGCGGTGCACGGCGCGCGCCATGGCGATGGTCTGCTCCACGTAGGGCTCCCAGGACAGCGTGCCGTCCAGGATGACGTCCCGCCCCTCGTTCAGCGCCGTCACCAGCAGCGACGACGCCGCGTCCGTCGACGACTGGTGGACCTGTACGTTGGCAGGCAGGAACAAACAGAAAGCCCAGCCCAGTAAGCAATCAGCAGCATCGGCAGGGCCCATCTTGGCAGGCCCCCCGGAAGAGTGCAAGACAGACAGAATGGGCTATCTGAATCAGCCCATCTGTGGCCCAAATAGTCAAAACCCGCAACACTGCATTGCATTGCATGGCACAGTTTTAAATAATTCGAATTCCAACTCATAACACGCTCTTCAACTCACATCCATACAGTAGAAATGCAACACATAAGTATCTTTCTCATATGGCTACAGTAATATAGAATATGTTCCATATACAACCATATAAAGGCCTGTTCAGCAGGACTGAAAAATACTATTCCGGCTTATTGTTGTGAGAGAAAAATACTGTTGTGGCAGGACATGAACAGTGATTTCGTGAGGTGGCTGGCCAGCCAGGCAGCCACCAGGCAGCCGAACACTGCCTAAGCTTAACTAATTTGTGTCTAAATTATGATTATTAAAACTAAATTCGATTCGAAGGATCAAACAGGGCCTTAGATTAATTAAGAAATGTATTTTTATAATTAATTAATTTAGAGCTATAAATGTAAATAACATTTATTAGAAACCTGTGCGATGCTGAACCCATGCATGAGGCCGCCCGTTTGGTCGCTTATCCATCCTTTTCTTACTAGCTACTACAGTCTGCGTTCTCATCACGCAGCTCAGCATGTGGTGACCTCTAATTAAGTAGTTAGGTAATTACGTAACTGATGAAATAATCTGCATCTGCGTGTACTAATATGTACGTACGAGTAGGACACCCTAACCGATCCAAAGTCTCCCAACTCATCGAGTCCAACAAACGCAGACAATGATATAGTGACGCATACATAGTGCAGGGATTCAGGGAACTGACGATATGATGCACGTACTACTAATAATGCATGCAGTGCAGACACACGTGCAGTGCAACAGTGCAGGTTACTCTACATACCAGCTCTGCCGTCTGGAGCATGTCGTTGTGGTGGCCCATGGAGCTGATGGCGCGGTAGATGACGTCCGTCTCCTTGAACGCGTCCGCCTCCACCACCACGGCGTTGCCCTCCGCGTTGGCCCACAACGCCTCCTGCTTGATCTCCTTGAGCACCGTGCTCTTCCCGGCGCCCATCCCGCCGCCCATCAGCAGCAGCACCGGGCTGCGCTCCGAGTGCGCCACGGGGGCCATCACGTCCGTGCACTGCGACGACGCGTCGCCGCTGCCCGCCGTGACGATGCCGATCGCCTTCATCTCCTCCACCAGAGTCGAGAACACCCGCGTCACCTTCAGGTCACGCGTCACGCGCTCGAAACGCTGCTTCCTGTTGTACATCGGTACATACATGTTATTAATTGTGTATATATATATACAGTATGTCCATACTGAATTTCAGATCCAACAACCGAAAGTCACATCCCTTAACAAAATGGGCCAAGAAGATAAGATTATATATAGTAACAAATATCAAAATATATAGATAGGAAAAAAAAAACCTTGACCAGATGCTGATAATGATTTATTGTGAGAGAAAAATATTATTATTTTACTAAAATGGTAAGGTTATAAGTTCAAGCGAATAGGGCGGATGGCATTTGCATTGACCCACACTCTGCGGCGAGTAGTGAGGCAAATCATGATGGCGCCACCTAATTCATCCATCAGTTGCATCTACCCAATATTTTTAGCAAAAGTAAACAGTTTTCTTACCCACTATATATATTATTATATGTATCGAAGCTTACACCTTAGACTTTACTAGTATCTGTCATCTGGCCAGGGACACGCAGGCGGAGAATGACCAGTGCTAAGCGATGATCGATGAAAATCCATCTGGGACCAGGCCAGATACTAAACATCTGTACAAGTTAGTTCAGTAAACCGACCACATGATGATGCCTCAAGTTGGGTGATATGATGGGCCTGGCGCCCTGGCCTATCCATCAGACCATGATCATGCTGGCAGCAGCCCGATGGTTCCAATTATCACTAATTATCTCATCTCAAAACTCCTTTTTGACTAAGTCATCGTCTCAGAGTCAAAGGTAGTACTAGTAGTAATGATTAACTGAATTTCGTGTATTCCTCCTTTTTTCCCTAAGAGAGGGGGAACCGTAGAGTCGCACATGTATGCTTCATTGCGTGTCTCTAAATAATGGCGATTTTGTTGCCTAGTATTCTTGATTTTGGTTTATTACCAGTACAAATACTCCACAGAGTTGGATATAACATAACTAATAATACATTTTTGAGCAATTAGTTATAAAGAGTAGCTACTTTTTGTCTGCAATTGTGCTTCTAAAGTATTGTTACTAATAAGTACAGATTTGGACGTGGCGAAGAGTGGAAAAGGTGGCATATTTGAGTCAGGGTATATTTTGAGTGTAAGGTATATTTTAGTATGTCAATAATAAGTAGAATTTATCTTGTTCTATATAAACAGTCTTTCATGCATGTGAGGGAATCTTTTCAAAGAAAATACTATCAATATATAAACAAGTTGGAATTAGGCAATATAATTAGACTAATATATTGTAATAAAAATTGTTGTTTTTTCTATTGCATAGCTGTGTTCTATTAGAAAATATAGATAAAAGAGAAATAAACAAAAATATAGGAACAAAGCTGCATTCATGATAGTTTTACCTTGTTGCTTCCAGGACCATGTTCCTCCACTTCTTTTTGGTGCCGCTGTCCGCGGTCAACGCCTGCGCACATTAGTGATGGAAAAGTTAAGTTGACAAGACTAGCTACACCGTTATTTTATATATAAGTAGACACTTTGACGTACAACTTAATATATGTCCCGTTCTCTTGGCTGATAAGCCATGACACTGAAAGTACTGTTAGCTAATTTGTTGTGAGAAAAAAATACTGTTCGTTGGCTGAAAAAGTACGGTTTATAAGCCAAACAAACATGACGATACTTGTGTACACAAATTATTGCAACGCCCCTTTCATCATTTGTAGAGGAGAAAAAAATAGCATGCCTTCAAAGGAGAAAACCTATATATCTGTCACTCAAGTGTCTTGTCCCCTTGTAAGTGTAGCACTCGATTTTGGTTCCACCAAACCCAATCTCTGATGTTGTAAACCCCCCCCCTCTGCTGCGGTCCGTGTTGAGGTGATTCTTCCTCAACTGCAGCGAGATTAGATTCCGATTCCGCGCGTTGCTTGTCCTCACACATGTTTTTTCTATAAAGCTTCTTTTTTTTTTGTGAATTCTATAAAGCTTCTTTTGAAAGGACTTTTGAACTTTCATTGTCATTGGAATTAGGCAATATGACAAGGACACGTGTAAGCTAAAACTATCATATATATGAAGGTGTATTCATGGAAAACTATCATATATATATATACCTAGTTACTCTAAGATGTTTTGTTTTTCTTCTTTATCAACTTTGCAGAGTTGCAATAGGCTGGTTAGGGTAGCTACATATACGTATAGAGTAAAATGCATGGATAGTCCATTAACTTGTGAGGCTACGTCGATTTGGTCCATCAGGTTTGAAAGTGTATTTTTGGGTCCAAAATCTTGATCGGTGGTGCATAAAGAGTCTATACCCATTCGGTTTATGTTTTTTTTTTTGTCTACGTGGACAGGCCACCGTGGCAGATGAAGTGGCCTTCAGCGCCGTGCAGCGCACGTGACGGCGCTGGGACACGTGCTATTTGGTTCCTTCCACGGTAATACAAATGTAAATGGAATCGGTTCAAATCTATCTCCCACCGGTAACGTTTGTAGCTTTGTTTCATTTACCTTTGCGTTACCACAAATACAACCAAAAAAAAAAGTCGATGGTTTGGAGTGATGATCGAGGAGGTACGCACCGAGCTGATGAGATAGGTAGCATGGTCCCAGTGGAATGCAAAATATCCGAGGATGCATCTGTCCAGCTCCTCTATGAGCTTGACGTAAAGGCACTCGGCGTCCTTGGCGTTGGCGAAAAGCCCGTAAATGTCCTCCATGCACGTCTTGGTGTTGTTGAGGTAGTTGTTTGCCAGTTTGCACAGCTGTGGGCACTCGTTCACGTCCTGGAAACCCAGCTGCCTAGCTGCATGAGCCACACAGTACAGTAAAAATAGCATGGGCATCAGCAGTAGATTGCATTGCATTGTACTGTACCGTACTGTATATACACAGCTAGGAGATGGTGGATGGCTGTGCATGGTATGTATCAGACATGCATCACAGCAGCCACAGTCCCACGATGACCATTTCTCTCATAAATTAAAAGGCTGTTGTTTTTGGACGTCACCAATATATGCCAAGGTCGCACGTGTATCAACTCGATGTACTGAAATAAAATCTTTCTTTTCAAAAAACCAATATATGCCCGGAGAAGAAATATATAAAGTTTCATATAATAGGTAATTGGAAACTTCGGTGCTATATATTGCTAAATATGTATATATACAATATAATTCTTAACTACCACGGCGCCAAAAAAAAATCCCTGACTGCATTCTGAAAATTTATCAGCAGTTTGACTGTCATTGTTTTGCAGCAGGTTAAAATGTTAAATGCATGTTTACATAAGCACTTACAGTAAATTGAAGATATTTTTATCTTCCAAAACTAAAATAAAGAATTGCAGCACGTAACTCTCTTTGATCGGACTACGAGGGCGATCGGAAGACGACGACAACAAGAGGAAGAATAAAAATCTGTTTAATGCTTTTCTTTTTTTGTGGTGGAGCGATACAGACAGTGGAGTGTGGAGGGCTGAGGGCTGGGGCCTGGGACGCTGCGCGCTGCGCGTGACGTATGACGGGAGGGCACTTTCTGGGCCAAAGTAAAGAGGCGTCCTTGGCCGGGCTGCCCGAACGGTCACTGACAGCTGCTGGCTTTGCGTGGCCCCTGCCAGCTCCCAGCTGTAGTTGGGTGAGCACCTTTACCATTTTGCCCCGGCACTTGGTGCCGCGGAAACTGCTGCTTGCCCGGGCGGAAAGCAGGGGCAAGTTGGGGATTGCGGGGGGACGGGCAAAGTGGGGACTGCTGGAGTGGGTAAAAGCAGGTTGGCTTCTCGAGGCGCTTGAAATTTTAGGCAGCGGGATACGAATGTTGGGAGGGCTTGGTGGGCCGGGACCGGTGTGTGGATTCCGAACGTTGGTTCACTGGCTTATGGGCCCCGTTCCCAGTTATTACAAGCTGTGAACAGAGCAGCAGCAGTACGCAGGTACTCCAACAGTTGGTGCGCACTGTTCACTTTGTCAGTACGATCCACTAATCCAGTCACAGGCCTCGCCGGTAGCATCAGGGTTAGGCCATTCCTCATCCACGTAACTTGCCAGCCGGGCTGGTGCTGGCCTGCATTGCATGCATGGTATTGAGATCCTGCAGTGGCTGACAGATTGGCCCACCTACCGGTCATTGCTTGCAGTCCCTCCTGTAGCCTCTGCATTATTACAAAAACGAGAGGGCGAAAGAAACCAAGCGCGGAGATGGCAGGGGAAATGAGCGAGAAGCCCATCGATGGATCCTGCCATGTTATTTCCCATCGCACGGCAAAACCTGGGACGGGACCCCGTCGATCCCAAATCTCCATCAACCTCGGCCGATCGTGGATTAGTGTGAGAAAAAAAATGTTATTCTAACTTATAATCCACGATCGTATAAGTCGAAACGAACAGGCTGCATAAGCCAATGCACTGTTGGATCATACTACCATCGGAAGACGTAACAATAAGGTAGTGTTTGATTCCGTGACTAAAATTTAGGAGGTGTGTCGGAAAGATGTTGCGTGGAGTGTTGGGATATTAATAAAAAATAAATTACATAATACGGCAGACTTCTACGAGACTATTTTTTTAGCCTAATTAACCCGTCATTAGCACATGTTCACTATAGCACCACGTTGTCAAATCATGGACTAATTAGGCCTAAAAGATTCGTTTCGTAAATTAGTCGCAAATTATGCAATTGGTTTCGTAATTAGTCCTATATTTAATACTCTATATACGTGTGTGCCAAATATTCGATGGGAAAATGACTAAAATTTAGGAGACACAACCGAACACCACCTAAGTCTGTCCGATCCATAAATTTTGTAGAGAAGAGATAGACAGGAGATAAAGCCGGCTACTTTGTCTAATGGCCGGACTACTGGATCTTGACTTTGGATTGTTCTTGTTCAACCACGAACTGACCGCTCGCGCTGCTAAACGTTCGACTGGGATAAGGCAGCGACGACTGAATCTCCATGGACAGGACAGGAACCACTCATCACTGATGGATCGACTCCTCGACACGACCAACGGGCAACGGAGAAGACAGAAAGAGAGGAGGCTGATGATGACTGACTGACCGACGTAGTGCGAGAACTTCTCGAGGTACTCCAGGCGGCCGGACTCCGCCACCCGCAGCCGGGGCATTTCGGCCATGGCCGGCGCCTGCAGCTGATGCTTCCTCCTGTCTCCTCCCCAGCCGGCGCCGCGCCAGGGCAGCGGCGGCCGCGACGGCGCCGGCCGTCGACAGCGCGGCGACGTGGAGCAGCAGCACCTTGGCGAAGCCACCATCTGCACGTACGGGCCGATCCATAGAGGAGAGCAAGTAAGAAACAAGGCGTCGTCAGACAAAAGGCAGCCGAGCGCTGTGGGACTGGGATGGGAATATGGGAGCAGCGCAAATCATCAGAAGAGACATTGCACGGCCGCCCGCTCAGCTCTACCTTTGGCCATGGCGGATATGCTCTGCTCCCGAGCGGGGGGATCGGAATCAGACGGGGGATGGGTGGAACCAAATCCCCGGGTCGCGCGCGGTCTCGCAGCGCACGACAGGGACGGCATGAGCACCTAGTACTTATACCCGATAAACCACACATACCAGCAGACGCCGCCTCTGCCCGTAAAGGGCACAATAGGTAACCAGAGGAAGGTGAATAAACCCATTTATATATATATATATATATATATATATATATATATATATATATAAATATTTTTTGTTTTTGAATATTCCGCAGTCACAGTCACACCTAGTAAGCTTAGGATAAGACTAGGATGTCACGAAAGCCAAATGAGCACTCGAACGTGGCAGACATAGAGGTAGGACTTGGACAGTGCTACGAATGCGGGTCGTGGTACCATCTTTTGTCACTGCTCAAGACATGGTATGCCATGAATTATTTTGGACCATGGGCAAGAACACAATAATGGTGTCGTGTCTATAATCTCAGCACGACGGGCCGCACGGTCTGCCCCACATTTCAGACCGTGTTTGGGTCGGCATGGCATGAAAATGACACGTAAGCATATCTACAACGCTACAATATATTTTTTCTACTATTTACTATGCTACCTCTCATCTGTTTTTTTAATCTGCCGAAGCTAGCTAGGCCCACATTTCTAGGTTTTTATGGTGAATCTATCGAAACTGGCTAGGCCGCTTTTTCTGGCATCCCTGCAAATTGACTCTCTACCGACCCAGCCAATCCTCGTGTGATCTTTGCGTGCTAGCCATTTGGGTGCAAGACCAGATTTGCGCCAACAAAAAACTTTTTATTGGCCTGATAATTTGTTCTTAGCTATTACTCCTAGTTGCTATTAGCTAGGATGTTTCGATCCAATGGTACTAACTTTACACGCTACAATTAATACTAATGGATCCAATTAGCCTCTATTTTTTTAGTCTTGAACATATCTTCATTGGAAAAAGTATCTAGTAATGAATAAGATGTCAATCCTTGTTAATTGATCCACGTGCATCAGTGTATCTTTCCGCAAGAAAACTGACACTTTGTATCTAGCAAAATGTTCTTCGGAGTAAAAACAACGTGAGTAATTATCAATCATACTTATGAAGTTGAAACCACGCCAAACACAAGGATCATTGCGGTAGTAGTTGTTTATGTAGTGGAAATATTGAACGCCATCCGCGCGGTTGACTTGTAACGCAATTATCGGTTGAATTGTTTGATTAGAGACGAGTGTGAGAAATGTGATGTGTTGACCGGCCGGATCATCGTGGGCCCGGAGTTGATGATTGGTTGTTCAGGTCGTACGTTAACCAGTTAGTTCTGACGGCCGGCTGGTAATTGTTTAATTTATTAAATATTTATCTGTGGTTATTTTATTATTATAGGCAACATTATCAAGCGTGTTCTGATCAACCAAGAGAATAATAGGTTTTAATAATTTGTCTGTGGTTATTGTATTATTATAGGCAACTTTTAACTAGTGTGATGAACCAAGAGAATATAGTAGGCATTAATGTCACGGTCTCAACGACCATTTTTTGCGCCATATATATTGGCGTGTGGGGTATTTGACGCCCATATTGTACCCTTTTACTACTCTTTTTTTTAATTGTGCTCTATATATCAGAGATAACCAGAGAAGAATGAACAATTCAATGAGTTTGAGAAATGAACCCATCATGAGTGCATTACTTAAGTTTAGTGAAATGACCTCATTGTTTATACTGATATTTAGCTTATGAGAAATGAAGTGGTGATTAATTAACTCATTCTATTTCACAAACCAAACAAAAAAAAACTAAAATTTGATATGATGATGAACTACCTCATTCCACAAACCAAACACCCTATAGTGGAAAACAGTTATTTTCTATTAGACTAGTAATACTCTATACATAGGAGCTGGGATTAGAACTCTATAACGGCCTGTTCGGTTACCTCGGAACGAAGACTTGAAACGATTCCCCGGCGGAACGATTGTCTAATTTGAATAACACTGATCAGCGGGAATAATTTTTGGGCTCAATCTGGACTAACCGAACATGCCCTAAATCTACTTAACTATAGTACCGTATTTATTTAATTGCATAAATCGACTGGTGCAAAAGAAAGAAAAAAAAACTAGACTAGTAGCTAGTCTGATGAGGCAATTTTACCTAACCCCAACATCTAGCACGCAGCAAACTTGGAGGTTAGAAGCCCAAACATTAATTATTCGCGCCCTCTCTCTGGCTAACAATAGTTCCACGCTTAGCTTGCGTATGCAGTTGCTACCGGCAACTGTACATGAGAATGAATGAGATGAACCCAGGTGATTACCTTCCTCTGATTTGTTTTCAGAAGCGTTGATTCCGCCTCATCAATAGGTCAACTAACCCATGGTTCCTGATTTGTTTTTGCAGGACTTAGACGACGACGACGACCTTTCTCCTTGTCACGCAACCGATCGACCACCGAACCAACTTGATGTGTGGTTTAACTAATTTATTTATATGCATTGTTTAGATTGTTTAGTTTTTTATTTTATGACGAACTGAAGACCTTTCTAGCTCCTAGCTAGCTAGCTATGCACACGCAACGACCAAGAACGATCGATCGACTTGTAGTTGTAGGAAGCAGCTGCTGGTAGCAGGTAGCATACGTCGATCCATTGTCTCATCTGTTTGCATTGTGAGAAGGATCAGAGCGAGAGGGCTCGAGGTGAGGCGGGCTGATGAGAGGCGATGAGCAGAACACGCGGCTGCTTATAACTCATTCTGAATAAAGAATGGCGCGTCCTAGCTGGACGGCCCATCATCCATCCGTTTGTATCGTATCATGGTCGGGCCATCATCATCATATAAGTACTACATACCAAGCTAATAAGCTACATGATGACGATGATATATATATATATATATATATATATATATATATATATATATATATATATATATATATATATATATATATATATATATATATATACACACACACACACACACACACACACATGATGACGATGACGTACACACACACACACACACACACACACACACACACACGCACGCACGCACGCACGCACGCCAGGCACGGCTTGATTAATGTAATACTCGTATAATAACACACAGCGTGTCGCGTCGTCGTACCGGCAGGCAAGGCAAGTAAAGTATCATCCATAATCGCTATGGAATGGAGAGGGAGTATGTTGAGCCTGCCAGGTGCCAGCGTTATTGTTTTTGCATAGCATAGATCGATCGGTAGGAGGAATTGGGGGAACATGGGAAGAACCGGAGAACACAGGAAGGGAGCAGGTAGAGAGCAGAACCAGCGTGGCTCTGTTAATTGGTAGTTTGTTATCGTTTTTCTTGTTGTCCACTCCTTCTCTCTTCCTTCCCTTAAGTATTACAGCAGTGCTGGTGTCCGGACGGACGCCTGCGTATGCACTCCGTTTCGCGTGCCCCATGTGGGGACTGCTCGCGCCGTCTCAGTTTCCCCTGCCCTGACGTCTACGCCCACTCGGCGGCGTTGCAGCAGGCGGCGGCGACAGGTGGATTCCATTGCAACACATTGCGTCCTTTGTCGCTCACGGGCCTCCGGTGTTGCTAACAGCCTAACACTCCTTCCTTCATTCCAAGGTACATGCACACCTACAGGTGCCAAGCCAGCAGAATACGTCGACGGGGTATCTTGCCGGCTACGATCTGCATTACAGGACTACAGTTAGTAACAATGATTTTTCACTGAATTTTCGAAAAACAGTCGGGACCAGCCAGCCTACCACAAGAAAAGGGCTAGCTCACAGCTCAGCCCCTGTACAGCTACAGTGCGAGAGCCGAGAGGGCACGGCCGGTGCTGTGGGGGCTAAACCACCGGCCGGTCTCAATGACAAAATCTCTTTATAATATACCGCTCTGACAAGCTGCGCTACTGCATCTTTACTGTTCCATCCTACCTTGATTTCTACAGTACATTTGAACTGTTCGAGTTTGTATTGACAGTTGTCGTCTCGATTTTTTTTGCTTTTTCTGTTTTCTGTAAATATGAAAACGAGACGGAAATGGTATAGTTGTTTTTCGCTCATTTTTGCTTTCCGCCCTTTTATCGGTATATCTCTTTTTAACCCGCATTGAGTATACCGTTACAGAGAGTCGCAAAAAAAAAAGAGTATACCGTTACAGAAAGTCCAGTAATGCATCACAGTCGGCCATGCCTCATCGCAGGTCTATGGTGGATCATTAGTGGTTAGCTTGCTGTGTTATGGATTTATTTTCTTTTTTTTTCAAAGGGAATGAGGACTTATATTAAATCTTAGAACAGTATATCCCAAAATTACACATGAAAAAAAATCTGAAATAAAAAATACATAATATTTTATTCAGATTCTTCCATCGTCATCTTCCCTGGCTTCCTTCGAACGTTGGAGCCAAAGTGCAGTTCTTATACTGCATCCAACGACCGACCCCAAAACATTAGACATGCCGCAAGATCTAACGCTTCGGAACCAGTCCAAAATGCATCTAAATCGCTAAAAGAATATCGGCATGCAGTTGTATCATCGGGTACGACATAGACTTTAGGATTATCACATGGAGACCTTGAATTTCTCTCTGCGACAATCGATGATGGGATCGATGATCCGGAGTCGCTGTCCTCGTAGGGGGCTCCCAGAAGCACCCCCTTACAGATAAAAGACCACAAATTGGCCGCCTGCCGGTAAAATCGATGCAACGGCAATCACGAAGTCATCGCAGAAAACACGATCCCAATCGAAAATTATATGATTTTGCTTAAAATTTATTTGGACTCAAACCCTAAGACACTGCAAAACTATGCTCATTTACTTTCTTACTTTTGTCTTCTTATTATGAAATCTTATGGCATGATTTGGAACTACTTATGTGCTTACAGTATTGTCATATTGGATCAGTTAGGTAAGTACGTGAAGTTATATTTTCTTGTTCTATGTGTCGACGTACCGTTTTGTCTTTTTGCATTCCATCGTTGTTGCCGACATGTTTTCATTCGAAAGTCGAAACGGTCCATTTTCGATTTATGACGAATTGCATTATTCGACCTTCCTAATTTTTGTAAAAGTGAAAAACATAAAAAAAGATTATCTTGATCGATCCTGTTCTTTTTTTAATCCCTGTAGTTATAGAATCTCCCTAGCATATGTCGATTGGCTCTGCTCTTGGACGTGGAGAGGCTGCAAAGTTTGACGAAACGGAACGACCATGCCACCCGACCACTATAGCCTGTGGCTCAGGGCGCCATAAAATGCTGGAAAATTATTTGTAGACAACCCCATCAATGGGCTGTTCAAAGATTAAGGAATGGTAAGGTTCTGCAGATGGAGTCCCACTACAGTTGGGCTGGGCCTTCGCCAACCCAAATGTCTCTTTACTTACAAGTACTACTAGAAAAGGTCCACAGTGTCAATTTGGTATGGGCGATTGCGATTTTTATTTTTTTGCTTTTTTTCTTTAAAATATTCACATTTAGACCACTGAATGGCTTAATTTCGCTTTTGGACTCCAGGGGTTGGCACCGTGACCTATGGTGCCAAAATAACACGCCTTGGCACCATAAGCCAAGGCACCGACCCCTAATACCCAACGTGATGTGGCAAGCCAACGTGGGAAGAGGTGGGCGCTGTGATCCACAACGCCTACCTCGGCACCAAGACTGCCTTTCACGGATTGCACTACTGCCAGGGGATTCTGGCGCGAGGCAAAAGCTCTGACAGGTGTGAAGCCCCGTCCGCTACATCCCTTGACTTGGGCAAGTGATATTTTATGAGATGAGGTTTGTTCAGAACGTGATCGCCGTGTCATCATTATTGGAATGTATGCTCTATGGACACAACGCAACAGGAAAAACCACGGGGAGCAACAGCTGCCGCTGCGGAAAGCTGTACAATGGGTGGTGGATTTGGCCAATGATTTTTGGCAGACCACTAAACAAGCTATGCAAAGGACGACCGGGATTTCTAAACCAACATGGAGGGCACCACCGACAGGGTGCATGAAGTGCAATGTGGATGGGGCGTTTGATCCAAGGACTGGCCACGGGGCAACCGGTGCTGTTCTTCGGAATCACAGTGGTAGCTTTGTGAGTGGAAGAGCGAGGTGGTACCAGTATGGCCTGGACTCACTAACGTTGGAAGCATTAGCCTACAAGGATGGGGTACTGCTGGCAGCGGAGATGGGTGTCCAGCGTCTGTAGGTGGAAACTGATAGTCGGGAATTGGTGAAGCTGTGGGAGGCGGTAGACACTCGACGATCTCGTATATCTCCGATTCTTGAAGAGATAAAAGACAACAGTGCAGCTTTCTTTGATTTTTCCTTGATGTATGCTAAATTGCTAATCGCTCTTGTAATCAAGTTGCTCATGTACTAGCTAGACAGGTCTCAGATGACACTAGGATGGGTGAGTGGCATTCGGAGGTATGTGATGTTTCAGAGGTATGTTGCAACTGTTTTGTATCGATGTTGCTAAAGTAGATCGAGATATTGCACATGTTGCAATGGCTATATACGTATGTTTCAAGTGTATGTTCCAAATGTTTTCTCTATTTTAGACATATGTTGCAAGTGTTTCGTTTAGATATTGTAAAAGTAGATCTGGATGTTGTATATATATGCAAATGTTCCAGGTGTTTTCATATGTATGTTGCAAGTGTTTTATTTGTATGTTTGTAACGGCTACAAACGTGTTTCCAAGTTTTTTTTTTGGTGTTTTGCAAGTGTTTCAGACGTATGCTGCAAGTGTTTCATCTATTTCTCACGTATGTTGCAAGTGTTTTATCTGGATGTGACAAAAATAGATCTGGTGTTGCATATGTTACAATAGGACCCACCTACCGCAGCCGCTTGCTGCAGCTGCTAGGGCGCCGCCGAGCGTGCGCAAACAGTCCTCAGTGCGGTCGGGCGGCGCGGGCGATGTCCGTGCGGAGCGGGCACCCGCGTGGCCGTGAGAAACAGGGTGCAAGCGCGGGTGTCTGAACGTCCGGGCGCTAGCAATCTCCATTTCTTTTGGTTGTACTGTTAAGTGTGTGTGGTGGGTGAGGGTCTCAAAAGAAGTTGAATTGGTCAAGGTTGGACTTAAAATGGGATTAGAACACACATCGGAATGTGGACCCCACAATATGGGTGATACCTGGTGGACTGTATGGTGACACTGTGGTTAGTGTTGTAATGACTTAACTATCCTTTTCTTCGATTCACATGCAAGATCTCATGTCAAGCTTATATATTTCTAATTTTTCTACTCTCATGTTGAGCTACGCTTACTTTTTTCTATTATATTCGGTATAAAAAGATTTGAATTGGAACTTTGAATCTCCTTTTAATAATGGTATGTGTGTTGGTAATAGAGAAATAGATATAAGGGTACTTTTGGTGTTAACTTTTGTCTAATAGAAGTGGTGCATAATCTATATATCTTATATATTCCTAAACCCCCACTAGCAATTTCTCTCAACATGCAAACTGTCCACCTCAGCAATGCACTATCACATGTAATTAAAATCCACTAGCATGTGCAATTGTGAAGTCCATGTCAGCAAGACATATAAGCATTTCGTTGTCCATATCAAAATGCCACGTAATCCACTAGCATTAATTTATATAGTTTATTCCTTCGTATAAGTATAAGTAATTATATATAGTATAATTTCATTTTAAACCATCCACAATTCCCGCAGCAACACGTGGAGTATTCTTCTAGTTTATTAGAATGTAAAGGAGTACTTTAATTTTATTTTCTCTGAACAACATTAAGATCTAGACAGACTTTGAGAATTAACGTGGAGGCGTGGAGCTTCTTTTGGTTGGCCAAATACTGATAGTCATGGATGCTTGCCTTAAAGGAGCAATCTGGGGAAAGGCTGGGGTCGAAGTTGTATATCACCTACAACTAAAAAGAACAAATGTAAGGCAATTTTTTCGTACGTTTTTTTTTTTTTTTGGTCGCCTTCAGTCGGCGTCCCCTGCGATCGCATCGCTTCCCCGTGCGATAGCTGGCCCAGCAGAAAAGGAAACCGCCCTTCGCATGCGCTCCCTCCCTCGCGCGGTCTCCCACTCCCAGCGCCGAGGATCCCGGCGAAAGAAGGAAATCAATCGCCAAATCCTTCCCTTCCCTCGGCGCAGGAATCGGCCACGCCAGACGCGCCGCCGCCTCCACAAACTGCGCCCCCCACCCCCGGCAACACCAAAACCCTCCCGCAGGAGGTGCGGCCTTCCTCCGGCGTCCGCCATCGACACTCGTCGTTTTCCTCGCTCGCACACCCGTGACCCGTCTGGATTCCAGTTTCAAATGGCAATGGCGATGATGACTATGCGACGCGCGGTGGCACTCGGTGCCCGCCACATCCCCGCCGCCGCCGTCGCTTCCTCCCGCGTCGTCCCCCTCCGCCACGTATGGCTCCCCCCTCTCACCTTGTCAACCCGCCATCTTCCTCTTCGCCGCTTCATACCGCACCCCTTGCCCTCCCGTCGCCGCGTCACTGTGCGGTGCCTTCGTTTGCTTGTTGGTTGCGGGTTCGATATATTTTGGGTGTGCAGATGAACGCGGGCGCCGCGATGGAGAAGATCCGCTCCGTGGGGCTGCTCAGGACGTAGGGGCTCATCGCTGGGAAGTGGGTGGATGCCTACGACGGGAAGACCATCAAGGTGCGCGTCACTTTCCCGGATTAATCCCGCTTCGCAGGCATGTGCTCTTCCTGTTCCGTTGGAAATCACCTGGAGCAGCGTGAGTCCTCTGTTCTTGTACTCGTCTTCTTTGTAAAGGACTAGGAAAAGATCCATCTTTTTTTTCTCTGGCTCGGATTTCTTGGCCACTGAACTGCGGAAATTTCTTTCTTGCAGTGGAGGAGCCGCTCAAGACTACATTCCAGGTGTCGATCTGCTCCACTCGCTGTTCGTTTGTTCCTGATGGATCTCTGCCGTTTTGTGACCGATTTGGTTCTGGTTGCTTTCTGAACGAAAACCCCTGCAGATTTTGCGCGTGTTTCGAAGTCGAGTTTTGCTTTAGTTCTCACATTTTTGCGGATTTAGGTGCTCCCGAGCGCTTCTTCATTAAAAAAAAATCTGAAGAACTGTGAGTTAGTCTGTGCTTTTTGTCGGTGCTCATTTATTTCCGAGTTTTCGGCAGAGATAGAATTTTGGTCTTTTCCCCACTCGACTTTCTTGTGGATTGAAGTGATTTTGAGTTCTCAACTTGGGGCTTTACAGAACATCTTTTTGTTGCCGTAAAGCCTAAACTTGTTCTGTGTTAGAGTGTTAGAGTGTTTTTGCAACAATCAATTTGGTGCTTTCAGAAACACCTTTACGATTTCGAAAATGAACTTTTCCTCTTGTTTGGGTTTCATACAGAGATATTTGTTTTGATATGTCACAAGGTATATAAATGAAAGTAGTACCTCTGGTTGGGTCCTGACTACAATTTTTGGTACAAGTTGTTTGGCTTTTGGCGCTGAAGACACGGATTGTGGCAGTTCACCGCGGTGAGATGCAAGGCAAGACTTGAAACTGCTTACAGCAGTCTGTAGGCCTCCTGAGTAAGCCTGCAGACTTTTAATAATGGTCCCTTTGTCGTAAGACATCATAAGGTTGCACAGCTAGCAAAGCAAACTAGGCTCGCAACTAGCGAAGCATCTTCTTGTAATGAAGAATAATAATGGTCCCTTTTCCTGAATATAGACGTAGATGATCTATTGAACATAACAATGTTCCTCTTTCTTATTTACCAACGACATGGAATCGTTATCAAAGTTATTAACGCAAGAAATTGAGAAAACAAGTACTATATATATAATCATTATATAAAGTACTAGTACATATCACAACTGCGAGTACAACAAGCTTATGCTGAGGTAGAACCCCACATATTTATTGGCTAGGACTTGCTAGCTACTATCCGGTCCCCTCTGAAAAATAAATTTTTAGAGACGACTAGAAACAACAGTTGTATTTAGAAATTCTTTTCTAGGAACGGGCCGTATTTCCATCCGCTTTTAAAAATTAATTTTTTAGAGGTGGATGGGCAACCACATCTAGACGACACATAGGCTGTCTATATATAGGTTTTTGAGCATGTCCCTAGAAAACATTCCTGTAGCAGTGATTATGACGACCAAGCCATGATATTAACACACATATGCCATGACAAAAATCACACATAGATATATATCCGCTTCATCAGATGAGCGAACTTATTTTTTTGATACTTGCGCCACCTAGGGGTTGGCACCGCCGTTTGTGGGAACAGAATTGGATCCACCAAATCCTGAATTTGTTTCAAAATATAACACACAAACATAGTCAATGTATAATTATGTAATATATGCGTCGTTAAACTGATCCCCAGGAGCTTAACGTAAACAAGATCATCTGTACTTACCGTCAGGTTGGTATGAGTTGTAACCACTCCTTCCTACGGTGAAGAGATAAAGTTAATTAGATGTAAATTATTGGTAGTTTTAATACAAAACGACACATTTTTTTGTGGTATATGATATATCTCTTTCATGTGAAATTTCTGCATCACACAAATATAGTAAACCTGTATATCAGTGGCACAAGAACCATTTTTAGAGACGATCGTTCTATTAAGGGAGGCTGGCAGAGTAATCATCTCTATCAAATGGTCTATATTAATAAGCCATTTACAGAGTGGTCGGCTTGTCCATCTCTGTAAATCAATTAACATAGGTGATATCTTTCAAATTTTAAAATCTGAGAGCTTAAAACGATTTTTTGGGGCTCTAAACAACTTCACGAAACACATACAAAGTAGCTTATTAAACGCACACATGCGATATCTTTTTTCAAAAGAAGGGAAAAAAACACCGACAGGTCGAAATGCATGCGCAAGTTACCTGCTTCTGCAGAGCTGGTGTACATGACACAGACCATAGCAGCTACAACAAGAACCATCAGGCAAAAGGAAAGCACAGGGGAGTATTGCTTCCTCATGATCTCCTCTCAAGCTGGAGCTTGGAAGTCCTTATCTAACTTGCTGCCTCTGCGTGCGTGCTTAATTGTAGTTTTAGCCAACGTTGCTTGGTTTGATCCCCCACCATCTTGGCTAGGTCTTTATTTATAGCCACAGCCAGCAGATCAGTCGACGCCATTTTTCCAACGGAGCTGCACTAGGATGTAAGAAAGGTCAGATTCATAAATATCGGAATCGGTATTATTCAACCAAATCCACACGTAAGACATTGACATCCATGCGTACTAGAAGTCAGACTGGGTGGACTGAGTTCTATCAAAAATCTTGGGAAGTCATTAAATGTGATCTTGTGATGTAACTCATGGACCGTTTCATGCAGTATGATATTTCGTGCACGCATAAACGCCGTTTGAGTAGGGCTAATAACTTTGTCAGCAATTAGATTAATTCTCAATGTTTCCTCTTTGTTGAAAATCTTGAAGCTCACGTTAAGTAAACAAATAGGTCTATATTACTGGATGACATTTGCCTCTTGGACTTTTGCTAGTAAAGTAATCATCCCAAAGTTAAGACTAAAAATTGGCAGTTCTCCTCTACGAAGATCATGGAACATTTACATAACACTACTATATAACAGACTTTAGAACGATGTCCTAATTTGGCATTAGCCTCGGCATTTTTTGCCGCGGGGACTAAAGGACCCTTTAGTCCCGGTTCGTAATACCAACCGGAACTAAAGGTCCCTGCCCAATGGTCGTCCGCGTGGCAGGGATCTTTAGTCCCGGCTGGTATTACCAACCGAGACTAAAGGTAAACCTTTAGTCCCAGTTGATAATACCAGCCGGGACTAAATGTTTTAGTCCCGGTTTGGGTGATACCCGAATAAATATTAATCTTTAGTCCCGGGTTTGGCCACCTAACCGGGACTAATTATATGCGAACCTATACAACGGCTTATTTCTTCCTCCCCCGAGCCCGAGCCATTCCATTCAAACTCACCGCCTCTGTTCTTGACTTTTTTGTCATTGTTCTTGCTCTCCCCCTCCATTGGTGTTACTCTTCGATTTTGGAGGTAACAAACTTAATCCTCTTATGTTTTATCAGTACCTTATCTCATTTTGCGATGTAGATGCATGTGTAACTTTATATGTTGGACTTTATTATGATTTTATATGTCATTTTTAGCTCAAAATCACATGATGATTTGCATATATGTTTGGATAAACAAAAGTTAAATTAGTTCATTAAAATCACGCCTCGCTCGTCCTCGCTGGAGCACGCGCCATCCTCGTCCCCGGCGGCTTACGTGATCTTAGAATTAATTTTTTCATGAAATAAAAAACTTAGAAAATAGTTAGAAAATTATAGAAAATCCGTACTAGTTGAACTTGCGGACCGTGATCATCTCGGCGAGCATTTTCTCTGCCGAGCGGTAACGGACATCAAGGAGGAGCTTTGATTCTACGAGGGAGAGCGGCAACGGTCGTGGAAGACCGTGTTCCCTTCCTCGTAGAATCAGAGCTCTTCCTTGGCCAAGTACGGTGCCGTCCGGTGAAGAAATGCTCGCCGAGATGATCACGTAAGCAAGGTCAACTAGTACGAATGGTTATTTATTGAAACATGTTTTTGAGCTATGTGATTTCTATGTCATTTTTAGCTCAAAATCACATGATGATTTGCATATATGTTTGAATAAACAAAAGTTAAATTAGTTCATCAAAATCACGCCTCGCTCGTCCTCGCTGGAGCACGCGCCATCCTCGTCCCCGGCGGCTTACGTGATCTTAGAATTAATTTTTCCATGAAATGGAAAACTTAGAAAATAGTTAGAAAATTATAGAAAATCCGTACTAGTTGAACTTGCAGACCGTAATCATCTCGACGAGCATTTTCTCTGCCGAGCGGTAACGGATGTCAAGGAGGAGCTTTGATTCTACGAGGGAGAGCGGCAACGGTCGTGGAAGACCGTGTTCCCTTCCTCGTAGAATCGGAGCTCTTCCTTGGCCAAGTACGGTGCTGTCCGGTGGAGAAATGCTCGCCGAGATGATCACGTAAGCAAGGTCAACTAGTACGGATGGTTATTTATTGAAACATGTTTTTGAGCTATGTGATTTCTATGTCATTTTTAGCTCAAAATCACATGATGATTTACAATAGTAAAATCACTTGATAGTTTGGTATTTTACTATTATACATAGTACATATTTCATGGTTTAGTTAGATAAATAAATAATTTTAGTTTTGTTTAAATATATTATTTTAGAAAATGTGAAATTTATAGTAGTTTGTAAAAATAAGTATAGAAAGTAGATGACAATCGGTATCGGATCCTCGGCCTCTCGCTTAGGTTCTTGAAACGATCGAGGCCGAACTCCCTCTCATTATCTGCGGCAAGTGTAAGCGTAAGATTGTGATGGAGTACCGAGTCAAGAGATAGGGACCCAACAAGGGTCGTGTTTTCTACAAGTGCCCGATCGCGATGTGAGTTTCTTACGCATTTGATTATTATGGCTAATTGACTCGCTTTTCTTGAATATTTTTGACTAAATATTTTTTGCTTTAATTTCAGTGGGGAGGGCAATGGATGCGATGGTTGGTACTGGGAAGAAGATTATGCTACATACGTGCGAGATTCGTCATTTCTCTCTTGATGAGGCGATGAGCCAAATAGGAGAAGCTTATTGATATTCAACGGAAGAATGATTTGTCTGCTTTTTAGTTGCGTCATTTATCATTCTAAATAATTATGTTACTGAAGTGCATTGTAGTTTTAGTTTGTTTAGTGATAGTTGGGATTGCTTACGTTGTAGCCAAAGCTTAGTTAATTAATCAACCGTGTGTGTCATCTATGTTGTGTAATAAAATACTTAATTATGTTCAAGGTTTTCATAATTTGTCGTATGTACTGATTATGTCACGTCATTGGATGTACAATGCCGATCGCCGCTCCCAAGACTTTATTAAGGGCTTGCACTATTTCTTAGGTGTGGTCGAGGCAAATAAAGCGGGATGGTTTCATGTCTTTGCTCATGTGCCCTATGTAAGAATTTAAAGGAATATTCAAGCTCAATGAGTCTTCATTCACATTTGCTTAAGTCAGGTTTCATGTCAAACTATATATGTTGGACTAAGCATGGAGAAAGCGGGTCATGATGGTAGAAGGTGAAGGAGAAGATTTAGACATTGATGACATTATTGCTCGAGATGGTGCCTTTGATGATACTACAATGGGGGAGATGAAGAAGAGGTAGCGGTAGAAGATGATCTCGGTGATGCTCTTGGCGATGCCATTCGTGATGCACAACAAGAATGGAAAAGTGAAAAAGAGAAAGTTAAGTTTGAAGCGCATGCTTGAGGATCATAGGAAGTTGCTATACCCGACACCAAGAGGGCAAAAAAAGTCGGGTACAACACCGGAATTGCTACAGTGGAAGACAAAGAATGGTGTATCCGACAAGGCATTTGAGAATTTATTGAACCTCATAAAGAAGATGCTTCCGAAGCCAAATGAATTGCCCACCACTACGTACGAAGCAAAAAAGGTTGTCTCGCCCTTTGGGATTAAAATTCGAAGATACATGCATGTCCTAATGATCGCATCCTTTACCATGGCAATGAATACGAGAATTTGGATGAATGCCCGGTATGTAAAGCATCGCGGTATAAGATCAGGCGCGATGATCCTGGTGACGTTGAGGGTGAACAACGTCCTAGAAAGAAAATCCCTGCCAAGGTTATATGGTATGCTCCTATAATACCATGCTTAAAATGTTTGTTCAGAAATAAAGACCATGCAAAGTTGTTGCGGTGGTATAAAGAAGACCGTAAGGTAGACAATATGCTGAGACACCCAGCTGATGGGTCCCAGTGGAGAGCGATAGACATGGAATTTCCAGAGTTTGCAAATGAGGCTAGAAACTTAAGGTTCGCCTTAAGTACAGATGGTATGAATCCTTTTGGAGAGCAGAGCACTAGTCATAGCACTTGGCCAGTTACTCTATGTATCTACAACCTTCCTCCATGGTTATGCATGAAGCGGAAGTTCATTATGATGTCGATCCTCATCCAAGATCCGAGGCAACCTGGCAATGATATTGATGTCTATCTGAAGCCATTAATTGAAGAACTTCTAGTTTTATGGAACAAACCAGGTGTACGTGTCTGGGAATTGAAGACAAGTCAGACATGTCAGAAGATTACGAAAGAAATGTCCGAATTCCACCCTTCATAGTGAAGAAAGATCCAAGCATCATGTTAAATGATGAAGACACTCCATGGTTACGATAAGATCATAACCAAGGGTCATACGTTAAGAAGAAATTCACTGTTGTGCCCGCATGATACAACGATGCATGTTTAATATATTATGTTTTAGAGACGGATATTATGTAATATGTTATGCCTTCACAATTGTAGATCTTGCTGAGATGATCAAACTTGGTATTCAGAGTTTTTTCATCTGAGGTCATTTAGTGTCTCATTTGAGCAAGTTTGACCAAGTCAAATTTGGTCAAATGAAAAAACAACACTTTGACTCTAGTATTATGAACTCTAAATGACTTCAAATTGAAAAGTTTTGAATACCAAGTTTGTTAAAATCAAAAATATCTACAATTGTTGTTTTGGTCAACTTTCCATTTGAGAAAGTTTGGATGGTTCAAATTTGTGATTTTTAAATTTCGACGCCTACAAACTAGTTTTCGGAACCCCAGATTGTCTCAAATTGAAAAGTTTTGAATACCAAGTTTGTTCAGCTAATCAATATCTACAATCCTTATATAGGCCATTTTTTCATTTGAGAAAGCTTGAACAAAATATAGTTTAAATTTCACAAGTGTGTGACATAGTTTTAGAAAGTCTATACGAGATTCAAGAAGTTGTGACTAGTGTTTGATAAAAATTTCTCAAATGGGAAAATGAGCTATGTAACAATTGTAGATCTTGCTGAGATGATCAAACTTGGTATTCAGAGTTTTTTCATCTGAGGTCATTTAGTGTCTCATTTGAGCAAGTTTGACCA